ACCCCAGAAGTCCATTAATTCAAGCTTTAAAAAAAAAATAAAAAAATAAAAAATCTGGTGCTATATTAGGGTGTAAATGACTAATTAACCTGTCTGTGCGCTGATGTAATTTGTCCGCTCCGGAGGGTTTCTTTCCGCAGTAATCACCTCTCGGGGAAGGCACGGGGTCGCTGAGCTGGCAAATAGATTCTTGATATTTAGCTGGTTTGTCCGAGCTGGGAGTTCACGCTCACGAGCAGTAAATAATTTTCTGAGCCAGTTTTTCTGCTGCAAATAATATGGGGTTGGGGAGATATTAACAGATCTCGGCTGCAGAGCAGCGATTTTAGGAGCCGTGGTGGTGAGTGAAGGTTCGTGGATTTGATGTTTCTCCTGCAGCTGCTGTTGGTAAATTGATGGATCTTAAGACACCTAATATGATTCCATTACCCATTTGGAAATGAAAAAGGGAATGTAAAGAAGATCCTGCTTTGATTGCCCAGTCCAGTGCTGGTCTGGCAGCGTTTGGTGCTGGGGGAGGTGGGAGACCTCCCTGTTTTTTAACGAGCAAAAGCAGTGAGTTGGTGTCGGGGTTGCAGGAGGTCAGTCCCGCCATTTATTATTTTTATTGCTGCTTTTGAGTAGAAATAAAGGAAAATTGCTTTGTATTAAATAGCCCAAGCGCTGCACTGTCTGTTTTCCTCCCCAAGTTCACTGCAGGGCTCTCACCCTGCTCATCAGGATTTATTCAGTCTGTGGGGTTTTGGCTTAGCTCACTTAAAGTTTTGAGATCAGAGATGATTTCTTTCCCCACCCCCCAAATTGTGTAAGTAATCTGGGATCTTCACCTCCAGCTGCATTCCCGGTTGTCCATCATCACAGAAACTCATTCCTCTGAAGTTTGCTGATGGTGTGGGCGAGGGGTGCTGCTCAGAAATGAATTCAGCTCCCAAAGAGAGAGACAAAACATCAACAATTTATCTAAGGATGCTCCATCCCCCGTGCCACAGACATTGCAATTTAGGGATGTCCAAAATTTGTTTTATTTTTTTCTCTAAGCGTGGCTGCAAATTACCTTGGACTCCCCACAGGCACTGCTGGGTGCTCACTTCCTGGAAGATTGGGAAAAAATAATAATAAAAAAAAAAATCAGGATTTTCTGCCTCCCTCTTTCAAGTGAATTAATTCACAAGGAGAGTTTGAAGCCGGAAGGGGATACGTGACGCGCTCGGGCGCCGATACACCCAGACCCAAAGGACATGGCAACCTTTGTAGTGCCAGAGCGAGGTGTTTGGCTTGTGCAGGATGCTGAGGAGCAGCATCAGGGCTTTTCCTGAGCAGACTTCACCAGCTGCCAGCCTTGACTCCCGAATTTCCTGCTATTGTTGCAGGGTTGAGAATAACACTCGCTATAGGATTAACCGTATTTTTGCAGAGGGGTTGTGCCCAGGTCCTGGTGAAAAGGCCGAAGGTTCTTGCTTCAAGCAAAAGCTTTTTTCTTCCCTTGTGCAAACCCACGGCAGGTCCTGCAAAAAAATCACTCGGAGAATCAATGCCACTTCTCCACTTGTTCTCTCCATGACTCTGTTACAGCTCTACAGAGTCTTTCCAAGGCTTTGTATCCTGGGGCGGTGACTGTTACAGCTCTACTGAGTCTTTCCAAGGCTTTGTATCCTGGGGCGAGGACGGTCTGGAAATTGCTTGCAGAAAGCAGAGCGGAGATGATTTAGGGGAGCAATCTGCAGGCTGACACTCCTCTGAGCCTTCAGCCTCTGGATCCAACTGCTGATAGATGGCTTAATACGGGCTGGGAACACGAGGCACATTCAATTCTGCTTTCCTTGGTTTTGATGAAAATCAAGACCGCGGTTGTGTTTGATTTCAGATACATCCTGGCTACGAGTATAACCCATTTTCCTGAGCCCTACCTGGCTCTGCTGCTCCAAATTCCTGATTCCCACCCAGCTTTTTGCTGTTTGCCAGGACAAATTCTTCCCTTTTGGGTTCCTGGGACGACTTCCTGCTTTTCGTACATTGGAGTTACTATTGTCAGGTCTCACACACAGGAAAACAAGCAATTTTCCAGTGCTTGGAGATGTTGTTGCCTGCTGCTTCCCTGGAGGGGCAGAGGATGGGCTTTGCTGCCTTCGCCTTCCCGATTTCCCACCTCGCTGGAAATTTGGGGCCAAAAAACGTGGCAGGAGGTTTTTGCACACAGAAGCTGTGGCTTTTTTTGGGTCCTTCTTTGTGGGAGAGCCAAACCTGCACACACAGGTTTTGCAGCCCAGCCATGGGAAAACCAAGCCTCTTTTAAAGGTTTGCAGATGCAAAAAGAAAGCTAGAAATGGGCATTTCCCCCTAAAATTCAGCCCCAGGCTCCCAGACCTGCCTTTGCTGTCCATTTTACACACGTTTCTCCAGCTTCCCCTGGCAGATTTGCTTTTCTGGTTATTCCAGGGTGTGGACCAAAGGTTAAAAGCCAAACTATTTAAAAAAATAATAATAGTTTCTCTAATTCATCCTAACCTGAAAGGGGTTTTGCTGGCTGATCCCCAACATTCTCAAAAGGCAGATGCTCCTGAAGCAGAGCCAGCAACACCATTGGGGAGGAACAGAGATATGCTGATCATATTCCTTTTTTTTATTCATTATTGCCTTAATTCTCCAGCAACACCATCGGGGAGGAACGGAGATATGCCGATAGTATTCCTTTTTTTTATTCATTATTGCCTTAATTCTCCTCACATCTCCCATCCGAGCGCTTGGCAACGTCCGATTTATTTTGGGGGAGAGGGTGTTGTAACCACCCCGGAGGCAAACAAACCCCCAGCTTGTTTTTTTAACGACTTAGTGAGCATCAATCCATCCCGAGCTCCCTTCCCCAAGCTGTCAGGGCAGTGATTTCTCGGAGGGACAGATCCGTGCCAGTTTGGGCAGCCTTTCGACAGCAGCTCAAGATGTGCTGGCATACTATAATGCAAAATATCACCCCCCCTCCTCCCTTTTTGCATGTATCCCCAGCCAAAATGCCATTTACTCCCCGGGAAGAAGGGCCAAAAAGGAGCGTTGCTGTCTCGGGGAAATATGTTGCGGTGGCAAAAAATCTGTTGCGCTTGAAACGCCGCTGCTGGAAAGGGAACGGCAAAGCTGTTTGAGAGCCTGGATTTATCTCTAGTGCTGGGGGGAAAATCACAGAATCACAGAATCTTAGTGGTTGGAAGGGACCAGAACCCGAGCTGTCTCGGGGAAATATGTTCTGGTGGCAAAAAATCTGTTGCGCTTGAAACGGCGCTGCTCGAAAGGGAATGGCAAAGCTGTTTGAGAGCCTGGATTTATCTCTAGCGCTGGGGGGAAAATCACAGAATCACAGAATCTTAGTGGTTGGAAGGGACCTCTGAGATCATCAAGTCCAACCACAAAAAAAAAAAAAA